TGGGGCCCAGCCATAGGTATTCAAGATGACCCAGGATCAAAACCTCAGCACCTTCCCATATGGCTCCAATATAGAGCCCTACCACATCAGGACTGGAAACTTTTTTTTTTTCCATACTTAGTGTTTTATTTTATTTTTATATTTTTTGATACATTCAATCACTATATATCATTACAGCTTGCAAAATTATTTTCCCCAGCATGAATACACTGCATATTAGTCTAGTTAAAGATAATATACATATTATCATCCACATACAATTTTCACTTTTGTGTCCCTTAAATGTTTTGCTTTTTTCTTATTCCCCTTGATTCCCTTCCTCTCGTTTTTAAAATAAAGATCTACAAACAAAAATGGCTAAATTTGACCTCATTAAAGTTAAAAAGTTCTATTCATCAATGGATATATATATATATATATATATATATATATATATCTGAGGCAGGAAAACAGGCTGTCTAGCTTACAGCTCCTCAATGGCTGATCTTGGCCTCTGGCCTCTGTTGAGGGAAAAGGAGTTACCTCCCTCGACAGTCCCATGGGAGAGAGTCCAAAGGACTAAGTTGTTTTTTTTTTTTTTTAAGAATTATTTATATATTTCACTTTACTTGTTACTTTTTTTTTTCTGGAGAAGGGATTGCAGCGTGACCGTCTCCCCTAGGGGGTGATTTCTCGCTTTCTGTCTCTATGTCTCTCTCTGTCTGTCTGACGAGCACACGCGCCCTATAGCGAACATCTCTCCAAAAAAAAAAAAAAACCCACGGTTGGCCATGTGGGAATCCAGCACCTTAACCACCCTGACACCTAAAGGTCTGAGTTTTAAACTTCATTTTATTGTCTCAAATCAAGAAATAAATCAGAAAAGCATAATAAGTTCCCACTTGGAATTTTTTGATCCTATTTATATTTGTGTCATATAAAATGATAGAGATCTTATTTCTCCCAAGGGTGAAAGTTTCTTCCAAGTAATTTTTTGATTTGGCTGGGAACTACAGGGAAGAAAAGCACTGTGGATATATAGTGTTGACATCAGCCATAAACATTCAGTGAATGAAGCACAGGGTCAACGGTTCTGAAGAGAATAACATTTTAAATCTATGTGATAAGAATAATTTGAAGACCATGGAGCCTTAAGTAATAGTAGCTGTAAGTAAACCATATAAGCACATAAATGTCTTACATCCCTTAAATTATATATGGTTTTGTCAAAATGATTTTCATATAATTTTGTTATAATTGTCATTGTCCCCAGCACTTTAAAAAAATCTCCCATAATACTTTGCACATAGTAAAGGATAGAGAAAACTTGCAGGGATGAACATGTATTTATGTGTGTACCATCTTCCACTGCCCTATCAGTACAGTAGACACGGATAATTATAGTTCATTTTAGTTTTTCAGTGTTAAGGAACTAATCTGGTCTCCAAATAGAATTATTTCTATCATAACTTAATTTCTTCAGGTTACCTCTATGCAACTTATAAAAATGCTCATAGGGAAATGTAATTTTATAAGATATAAATGAGTACAGTTCTTATTTACTATCTTTTTTTCTTTTCAAAAATTTACTTATTATTATAATTTAATTTTGCTACAGAGCATGTGTGCTCATCAGGGAGAGAAAGAAGAGGAAAGAGAGGAAGCAAGCCACCAGGTCCAGGGCTCAAACCACGGTTGAGCCCTGTGGGGGTCCAGTGTCCAGTGCCTTAATAACCATTTCACTTGATGGCCCCTTTACCATCTCCTTTTACTAAACCTTTTTGTATATTAACTACGTACCCCTCATTACATGTATAAACAACCTTTGCACCAAATTCAAACTCGTTTCCTACTGTGAGCTGAAAAGAACCAAAGGCAATATCTCCAGGATGTCCACAGGGCTTTTCTAAAATGAAAAGAAAGATGCACAATTAGTATGTAATACAAGGGACACGCTTACCACACTGTGTAGGAGTTGGGGGGCATAGAAATGTGATGGTACATTAGAGGATAACATCGAATATAGGGGCAATTGAAAAGCCAAATTTATTGTATAATTGAATTTATCTGTATACTTTTTTTTTTTTTTGAGAGGTTTTTGCTATAGGGCGTGTGTGCTCGGCAGCAAGACAGAGAGAGACAGAGAGACAGAAAGCGAGAAATCACTCCCCGGGGGGGGGGATGGCCACACCGCAATCCCTTCTCCTCCATTCTCCTCTTGGGATCCTGGGCACGCACGCACACGCGCCCGGCATGAGTTTAAGCTACCGGGTCCAGGACTCGAACCGCAGTCGACTACGTGGGAGTCCAGCGACATAGCCATTATGCTAACTGCTGGTCCCACAATTTCTCTCTTTTCTATTTTTACTTTTGCCAGAGAAAACATGCATTCTCTGGAGAGAGATGGAGTGGGAGAAGGAGAAATCATCCCCATGAGGAAAGGTCACCTAACAATTACTCCTCCTCCATTTCTCCCTTCTGTCTGAATTTTGGGCACTTACACTCAGGTGTCCATTGTTTCTCAAGCTGCTGGGTTCGGGACTTGAACCGTGCAGCTGGCTGTGTGGGAGCCAGTCACTGTAATCACCATGCCATGGACTGGCTCTACAATCTCTTTTTAACATGTTGTTGTATTATTTTGTAATTAGATGACAATAGTGATATCATTCACCCAATATTGTTACAATTTCAAATATTATTTTCACAACGAAACAGTTTTCATAAATTCTACAGATTTTTGAAACTTACTCCGACATGTCCTCGATGGGTAAAGGGACACCCATTCTCCCTTCCTGCACTCCATCACAATGGTTCCAAGAGTTCGATATCCAGGGCGGCATTTATAGAAAGCCTGAGTACCAGCTGAGTATGTTTGATCATTCCAGGAGCCAGACAGAATTTCTGTAGCTTTTCTTGGAGGAGGTCCTTTACAATCTACAAACAATAAAAGCAAAGTAAGTCCCTGGAGTACTCATTTAATGTCAGCATGTTTAAGCTGTTTGTTTTTAAAAATGCATCAACATGTACAGGTCCACCCAAAGGTACACCTGCATATGTATAAAATAGGCATTTCACCTTACACAAATTGAATCGATGTAACTTTATAAGAAAGTTCACTATGTAAAAATTATCTAAATAACTTTTGAGATTCATAGATATACTTTACCATATTATTCTTTATTGCCATGCTGCATTCTGGTATTATTTCATTAATTTAGAAAATATTTATTGGGCACTATTCAAAGTTCTAAAGGAACACTCAGTGGAATCAGGTTGCTTTGCTGAAATCTAAGTAGCTTATGAAGGGCAGACTGAAATTTCCCACCGTATTACAGAAAATGTCCCATTAAGAAAAGAGGCTTACCTTGGGACCAGCAGATGGCCTAATGGTTACATCACTCAACTCCCATGTAGTCAACCTCAGTTCAAGTTCCTCAGTTTCAAGGCAGTGGCTTGAAACACACCAGGTGTGTGTGTGTGTGTGTGTGTGTGTGTGTGTGTGCATGCCCAAAATCCCAAGAGGAAAATGGAGAAGGGATATTGCAATGTGGCCATTCCCCCTGCTGGGTGATTGCTCTCTTTGTGTCTCTGTCTCACTCTGTCTCTCCAGCAAGTACACATGTCCTATAGCAAAAATCTCTCTTAAAAAGAAAGAGAAAGAAAGGAAAGGAAAGGAAAGGAAGAGAAAGAAAGAAAGAAAGAAAAAGAAAGAAAGAGAGAAAGAAAGAAAGAAAGAAAAAGAAAGAAAGAGAGAAAGAAAGAAAGAAAGAAAAAGAAAGAAAGAGAGAAAGAAAGAAAGAAAGAAAAAGAAAGAAAGAGAGAAAGAAAGAAAGAAAGAAAAAGAAAGAAAGAGAGAAAGAAAGAAAGAAAGAAAAAGAAAGAAAGAGAGAAAGAAAGAAAGAAAGAAAAAGAAAGAAAGAGAGAAAGAAAGAAAGAAAGAAAAAGAAAGAAAGAGAGAAAGAAAGAAAGAAAGAAAAAGAAAGAAAGAGAGAAAGAAAGAAAGAAAGAAAAGACAGACAAAGAGGCTTTCTTCAAATACACAATAGGTATCCTTATCATACATTATCCATCAGATTCCTGATTAAACAAAACGAAACAAGATCTCTGCTTTGACTTTAAAACCAGAAGTAGGTTGACTGCAACCAATAGTGCTGAGCCTTGGCCTGTCTGAATTAAGTTCCTGATTGATCAAGAAACAGCAAACAGTCCTTTTGGTGGGGAGAAATAACATGAACTTTAGGTATTACCTTTCTTTCTTACAAAATATTTGGTTTTGGATAAAACTTCAAAGGCATACAAAGAAGCAGGAAAAAAGTGACAAGCACAAAGAAAATCTAAGTGTCTAGTAGAAGCAGACAGTGAGATCTACATATTAGAATTGAGTAAAAGACTTTAAAAGAGCTATTTTAAGTATAGGGAAACCTATCAAAAATATAGACAGAAGAGAGAAGATAAAGATAGTTGAAGGAAAATTGGCTCTATGAAAACAACTGTGTTTCACCCTAAAACTGCTCATCAGGTGGTTTTAAAAGAGAAATAGGGAGGGTAAAATACAAACTTAATAAACACAGCAATAAAAGAAAAAAACTAAGTATAAGAAATATCTTGTGCAAGTGATATTTGTCTAAATAAAGTTTTAAAAGTAGGGAAAAGAATGACCAGAGGCAAAATTTGAAGAAATAATACCTCAAAAGTTTCCAAAATTGATTAAAGAAATCAACTCACAGATTCAACATTTTAAGAAACCCTCCAAAGAGTAAATAGAAAGAAAACCTATACTGTGGCTCCAATGAAAATCAAAGATAAAGGCAAAGTCTTAAAAGCAGACAGAGAAGAGATAGCTGAACTTCCAGATAATCAATGGCAGTTCAAGTCCCCAACCTGGGGGATTAAAGCTCATGCCAGGCGCATGTACGTTCATGTCCAAGATCCCAAGAGGAAAATGGAGGAGAAGGGATGGTGGTATTGCCATCCTTCCTGGATGGTGATTTCTTGCTTTCTGTTTCTCTGTCTCTCTGTCTCTCTGGTGAGCACACAAGCCCTACAGCAAAAAGATAGATGAAGGATAAAAAACCATTTCTTTCAGGATAATAAAAATAAAAATTAAGTGCTAAGTCTGTATAATGACTACTAAAGTCTGAAAACAATCTTGATATTTCTAAAGTGTTAAAAATTAAATGGTAGCACAGAACTCTAAACCTAGTGAAAATATAGTATTGAAGTGAAAGAGAATAAAAACACATTCTCAAATAAACAAAAACATAGAGAATTCAACAATAGACTTACTATATATATATATATATATATATATATGTGTGTGTGTGTGTGTGTGTGTGTGTGTATGATACTTAAGAGAGTTCTCTGAGCAGAAGAAAACTGATCCAAAATACAGGCAAAGGAATGCAAGAAAGAATGAACAGAACAGAAAAAATAAATATATGGGTATATGGGTAAATAAAAAGACTACTGACCGATGATAAATATTGTGCTCTGTATGTTTTATAACAATAAAATGATTATTTATCTTTTTAATCAATAAATACCATGGTTTTAGTCTTTATAATAAAATTAAGAAGTAAAATATATGACAATGATTAAAAAAACATCAGAAAAAGGGAAATAAAATTGAACTATGATGATGTTATTGCATATTTTGGAATGTCATGAAAGCACTAATTCAGCATAGACTAATAACTAAAGTGTGCTCGTTGGAATTTCTAAGGTAATAACTAAAGCAATAATATTGAGAAATAAGATAACAACCACTAGAACTGATATAGTGAGATGGGGCCAGCATGGTGGTGTGGTTATTGGGGCGCTAGACTCCCACATGGCTGACCACGTTCAGGTCCTGGACCTCATGGGCAGCTTGCTTTCTCACTTTCCCCCTCTTTATCTTTCTCGGGTGAGTGCATGTACCCTACAACAAATTAAATAATAATAAATAACATTTTTAAAAAAGGAACTGATACAGTGAGATACTTTACTCAGCAAAAATATTTGATGACTATAAAAGAAGGCAGGAAAGGAGGACTGACTGACAGAACAAAAGAGAGATTAAACAAAAAATAAATAGGGGGGACCAGCAGTTAGCATAATGACTATGTCGCTGGACTTCCATGCAGTCGACTGCAATTTGAGTCCCAGATCGGGTGGCTTAAACTCATGCCAGGCGTGTGTGTGTGCATACTCAAGATCCCGAGAGGAGAAAAGAGGAGAAGGGATTGAGGCGTGGCCATTCCCCCTGAGGGGTGATTCCTCACTTTCTGTCTCTCTGTCTCTCTCCGCCTTTTGGGTGAGCACACGCACCCTATAGCAAAAACCTCTCTAAAAAATAAATAAATAAATAGGAAGATATAAATCTTAAACGTAGCTGTATGAATCATCACTTTAAATGTAAATGGATAAAATACTCATTTAAAATACCAAGATTGTCCATTTGGATAAAAACAAGAAAGAAACCTGAGTATATGCTGATTTCTTCAAATAAATTAGGACATATAAATTGAAAGTAAATGTGTAGGAACAGTGTTAACTGAGGCTGACTGACAGGAGCCAATTTTAATACACATTTCTTCCAAACATACCTTGTGTTCACTGACATCACATTGGTAACTTGAAATTGACCACATTATGAGGATTTACACCAGGGAAATCAAACAATTCTACAAATCAAGGGTTTTTCCTTTCCTTTAAAAAATATTTACTTATTTAATTTAATTTGTTATTATTATTCTAATTTGCTATAGGGCATGTGTGCTCACCAGAAAGAGATGAGCGAGAGAGAAAGAGAGAGAGAGAGAAAGCTTCCAGGTCCAGGACTCAAACCACAGTCAGTTAAGTGGGCATCCAGCACCTTAACCACCATGCCACCTGCCAACCTCTCCTTCCCTCTTTTAAAAGTTTTGAATAATTGGTAGTTATACTTTGCCCATGTATATAAAACTATCAGTGTATCTTCAAAGTACAGTAGATCTTGAAGCCAAGTAAACAAATCTACCATCACAAGTTCAGATATAAGCACACCTCTCCCAGTATCTGATAGACAAGGAAATATAGAAAAAGGGAGATGCAGAAGATATGAACACACAATTAACCAAACTGAAGGGGTTTTGTTTTATTTCATTTTATTATTTTTTTGCTAGAAGGCATGTGTGCTTGCTAGGGAGAACCAGAGAGAGAGAGAGAAAGAGAGAAAGGGAAAAGGAGAGATGGAAGGTGAGAAAGAAGAAAAGAGAGAGGGAAAGTGAGAAAGCACCCCATAAGGGAATGGCCACGCTGGAATCCCTTCTCCTTCATTTTACCTTTTGGGATTTTAAGCATGTGCACACATGTGCCCAGGGTGTTTCCTAAGCAACTCTTAACTGTGCAGTCAGCCACACAGGATCCAGCCACCTTAACCATTGTGACACCAGGCAGCCCCCAAAATGAGCTCGTTTATGTTTACAGAACATAGCCTTTAACAACGAAAAACATGTATTAATTCCACACATAAATAAAATCTTCACTAAAATCTACCATAAAGCAAATCTACAAATTTCAAGATTCACATGATTCTAAGTACACCCCTGACCACTAAACAAACGAAATACTGAAAATTCTAAAAATGTTTAAGTTAAGCAACATTTCTAAATAACTCAGCCATGTGGGATCCAGTCGCCTTAACACCCACCTACTGGTCCCTATAATAACATTTAACATTCTATTCTGGAATACTACTTTTTTTTTGGAGAGTTTTGTTTTATGTTTTGTTTTGTTGTTGTTGTTGTTATAGGGAACATGCACCCACCAAAAAAGACAGAGACAAAGAGACAGAAAGCGAGAAATCCCCCCCGGGGATGCCATGCTGCAACCCCTTCTCCTCCATTTCCTCTTGGGATCTTGGGAACGCACGCACAGGCGCCTGGCGTTGACTACATGGAACAGTGGTCGAC